TCGGGCATATTTGTTATTTTTGCTCGGGTGTACTATACTGTGCGACAAGACAGGCAATATGGTAAGCGTTGAGTACCTAAATCTTGTATCTGATTTGGATCGGATCGGCGAGTATGCTTGGGGCACTGCATGTCTTTGCCGGTTGTACGATGAGCTTTCCTCAGCCTCACAAAAATCAACGAACTCGATGGCTGGCTGGCTGACGCTCTTTCAGTCATGGATTTACGAGCACTTTCCTTATTTGGGGGGTGGCACATTGAAGACGGAATTCGAGGGGCCATTAGCGAGCCGATGGGAGCCTCAGTCAAAGACTACTTCAACGCCTGAACGAGCGTCGTACCTGCGATCTCGATTAGATGATTTGATCCCCGATCAGGTAACATACCACTTTAATAATTTGTTATTACTACTTAAGTAGGTTTTTACATCTAATTTTTTATTTATTTTAATAGGTTATATGGTCACCGTATACGGCTATTCGTGATCGTTTCCCGATGCCAGATTCTGCTTGGTTTAGTGGGATGATATGTTGCATGGACCACTTCGAGGCATATCATCCGGACAGAGTGTTGAGGCAGTTCAACCGGGTGCAAATCATTCCAGGTCGTGCATACATGTCAAAAGATATGTACAAAGCTCTAGTTAGCAAAGGTCGACCGGTCCAGAACTCAATTTTCGTTGCGTACGGCGAACGATTCTCTGATCGGTGGGAGGAGTATTGTCTGGACGAGGAGTCGAGGTCCGTTGAAATTGAACTCGGGGAGGCGGACACTTCGCCGGACTACATGAATTGGTTCCGACCCAGATGCATGTTACAACTGAGTAGGCATGGAGCCCATCCTCCTCGACCCCAGGCGGATCGACCTCGACCCCATGAAGCTCGTCCAGAGGGTGGTACCGATAAGGAGGTCCAACTTTCACAAATTTTGGAGTTGGTGAAGGGTACACTTAGCGAGGTGCGGGGACTTGCGCCATCCGACGCTCATACGGTCATGTGGGGGACCCTAAATGATATTGTCAGATTGATCGAGCCGGATGCCCCACTTCCACCTCCTTCGAGCTCGTCGGATGCCCCACCACCACCTCCAGGTAGCTCGATAGGGCCACTTCCACCGCCATCAAGCTCGTCCGATGCCCCACAGGCGGTTGTGAAACACGTGTTTAGTAGGAAGAAAAAAACACAGGATTAGTCTTGTATTTTTTTAGATGGATGTTGTTTTATGGATTTTATTTGTTTTACTTGCTTTTTAATTTAGTTTTATATGGATTTTGGGATTAGTCTTGTATCAAATTATTTTTATCTTACATTGCAATATATTTGGGGTTAATTTCACAAAAAAAAAAAAAAAAAAAATTACAAATTTTTCAAAAAAAAAAATATTTTGATACAGCTCAAATTCGACAGCTAGCTGTCGAATTACAGAGAGTAATTCGACAGCTAGCTGTCGAATATGAGCTGTATCAATTTTTTTTTTTTTGATAAATTTGTAATTTTTTTTTTTTGTCCAAAAACACTTACAATATGTTTTTTATCTTACATTGCAATATATTTGGGGTTTAAAAAAAAAAAACATAGTTTTTTCAAATAAAACTGCAACACTTAATAACATTGAATGTATCACCAGTAACTTTACATATTTATGTTGGGAGAACTATCACCATTGTCTGATATAGTAATAATCTCGAAACTCTCTCGCGTGGCAACATTTTGACCTATTAATTCTCGAAATGCTGTAATCCGACCATCCATTTCTGCAGGCTTCCAACCATCAGCTTTAGGATCATGACACCGGTACCAATAATCGGCGATAGGAGGTATTGGACAATTCTTGTTCAATACAACATGCACGAAGTGACAGTTGTCGACGAATGCCATACCGTGCTCTTGCCTCTCGCTGAAAAGCTTTGGATCGCTCGATAGGGGAAGGAACGTGAGACACTGATACTTGGATAAGTAGACAAGCACAATATTGTATGTTGAAGCAATTACATGACCCATATTTGGCAAAGACATCCAATGATCACGAGTTGCAGGAACATCCCAGTTACTCACAATAGCTTGCATGCTTCTAACGGTTTCTTCGCCACGGTGCATGGTCGTGTAAGTGGAAAAATTAGAAGTCAACTCCCGTAGCATGTCATCTCGCACTCGACCCCATTCATCTTCTCCAAATCCCATCATAGAGGCAACTGCCCGAAATCCACAGTGTCCATCTGAACCGACATTGATGATTTCTCGAACGTGCATACGAAATCGTGGATGGATCGTGTCAATGTACTTATTCTTGCCGATCAAACCTGGTGGCAATCCCACATCTGCATCTTCAAATAATGGTTTGACCGACTCTTGTGTCGGTATAGTGCTTTTTCCTGACTCTTGAGTTGGTATAGTGTTGAAAGAATCATTCGAATGCCCTCGTAATCTCATCAGTACAGGTATAAGCTGCAGTATATTACATTTCATTACTACTCAGCACAATTATAAAATACAACTTCAATGAAATGAGACGATAGTAGCGACATTTACCTTTGGAGAACAACTAGCTTGCTTCGATTTTTTTTTCTTTGGCTCCACATACTCAAAATGTGATTTGTCCCGAGTGCTTGATTTGTCTTTCCTACTTTTTGCCGGTCGACCTTTGCTAACAACTTTTTCACTTGGCTCCGTAAGGTTAGTCTTCTCTGGGTGGGTAAAATGTCTCAAATGGTTGCGCAATCGAGTTTTTGCATCGAGATCGGCACATTCAAAGAGCTTCTGGTATTCCGATAATTCTTCGTCGATGGTTGGTAGGATGACTTGGCCTGTGGTCGCGACGGGCTCCATACTCATGTGTTTCCAATACGAGCCTATTAACTCAAGTGGGATAGGACATTTGTTCACAACAACATACTCATGAAGTTCATGGCGACATGGTAGACTGTGGGTTGTTTGGATGGCGCAACTACAACCCATATCGCTCGGTTGCAATAGTTTCGCATTGTCCACCTCAACTTTGAGTAGTTGCAGAGCGTATTTTGAGATACTTCCACGAAGCTCATTGTATATCAACTTTTTGAAAGTGTGCTCGTAAGTATTTTTACTTACTTCAAAGGAAGCCTTGATGTCATTGTGTTGTTCGACAATTTGATTGTGGACTTTCGTATACAAATCCACAAATGTGCCAGTTGAATTACGCACATCCCTTTTCATTCGTCCGTGTGCCCCCTCCACCCTATTAGAAGTGTACGTTCCAAAATGAGTATACTTATTTGTCCACACCGATACAAGTCTCTCCTTGTACGGATCCAACCATGAATTAGCTACATACTCTATAGCCGGGAGATAACCAATAAATGTTCTTTTCAAATCCTCCCAATCCTCATTGAACTCCTCTATGGTATTTCTTTCAATAAGAGCCGAAAAACTCGACTGAAATTGCTTCCATTTGGTGATGTCCTTTGGGAACAATTTCTTACAATTGGCCACTATATTCTTGTTCACATGCCACCGACACAGCAAGTGATGACTCGATGGATACACATTGGCCACTGCTTTCATTAAACCCAAATCTCGATCTGTTACAATACAATTAGGCCGAGGACAACTGGTCATGGCCTCCTTCAAACAACGCAACGCCCATTCAAAATTTTCCGTCTTTTCGTGGTCCAAGTAAGCAAAGGCAATTGAGAACGTCTTGTTGGTACAAGTAAAACCCACAATCTCAAGAAATGGGAGTCCGTAACGATTGGTCTTGTACGTGCAATCGATGACGAATACGTACGGATACGACTGTGCCAACTTAATGCATTTCGGGTGGATCCAAAACAAGTCGGTAATCGCATTCAACTCGTTCGATCTATGGTACGAGAGGTATTCATCTTCTTTCAACTTGACAAACAATGATTGCAATTGAGATCTCCCATCCAATTCACTGAAATTTAACTTAGAGATAGTATTGTAAACTGTCTTCATACCAGTTACATTAGACGGGTCCTTTTGCTTCAATGCTCTTAGAATTGCCCTTGGTTTCACCATTGCTTTCTTCATAGTGTGAACAAAGGAAACATCCTCCTTTGATAATCTTCCGGCATAAGAGTGTCCGTGCAAGTTTTCGAATAAGTTGTGGTTGTGAATACCACAACTAACATCCAATTTCCACTCAGCCTTTTCATCATCCTTGTGTTCCCTTGTCCCCTTCAATTTAAACGGACAATTGCATTTCTTTGAACCGGTGCTCCTTTTTCCCGGTCTTTGATCATCTTCACCTGGTACCTTCTTGCCAACATAATGGCCCCCACGCTCACAACGAACAATCACATACGGTGTCCTACGTCCTCTATCCCCGTCACTCGAACCCCCAATCATTAACACCATTCCAATTCTTTTACATACTTCACGAACCCATGCCATTAAAGCTTCTTTTGTTGGGAATTTTTCTGACGTGGTAAATGAATGGGTGCAATCGATCTACACAAAAGTGTCGAAAATATAAGACAAGTAAATTTGCAACAGGAACCAAATCGACACTTAAGTGTCGAATTATGATGCAATTTTCGACACTTAAGCGTCGAAATTTTGGGTAATTTTCGACACCTAAGTGTCGAATTATGATGCCATTTTCGCCACTTAAGTGTCGAAATTTTGGGTAATTTTCGACACTTAAGTGTCGAAAATTGCATCATAATTCGACACTTGGGCGTCGAAATCTAAGGGTATTTTCGACACATACATGTCGAAAAATAGGTGTATTTTCGACCTGTATGTGTCGAAAATACATGGCGAGCTTTAAAAAAAAAAAATTTCAAAATCGATGTTTTAGCTCAAAAAATACATGAATACATACCTGAATGGGTTCTCCTTGCTCGTAAACTACCATTCTATTGTCATTTGAGGCCATTTTGCAAGTTGTGTAAGGTTTTGATTTCTTTTGTTTTGGGGTTTTTTAGGAGGGTTTTTGGGGAGGGAGAAGAAGGAGGTGGAGGAGGTGAGGGGTTTGGGAGTGAGGAGGGAAATGTTTTTTTTAGGTTTTTGATTATTTGGTTTTTAAGAAAGAAAAATAGTATTTGTAATATTATTTGGTTTTAATTTTCATTAAGGGTATTAAAGTAATTTACAATTAATTATTTAATTTCTATTTTTTTGGTATTCAACTAAGCAAAAGTTAGTATTCAAAATAGTTGTCCCCATAACTAATAGACACGTACCCTAATTTAAAATGGGTTTTAGAAACTTCAGTTGGACCATTATTTTGGTCAATGGTATGAATACAAGCAAGTCAATGTTTGGATTTTGAAACCTGTGTCCCATTCAAAATTTTATAATTACAGATCTCAACTACACAAAAATGTTGTTTGAGATCGGATTAGTTCAACTATAAATTTCTCGTGTCCTTTAATTGGTTTTTAATTTTCAGAAGAATCGGATGGTCGGATCAGGTAGGTACTTGACCGATAATTGTCTGACACGATCCGACTCATGTCCAACCCTAAATATATGTATATGATTGATTACGAATTTCTTCGTATAAAAATCCGTTGAGAAGTGTAGTTACGTGTCAAAGAATTCAAGCATAATTAACTTATAAATTCAAACAAGGAAATAAAAAGAGATTGCAGCTTAACGAACAAAAATATTTTAATTTAAATTTGGTTCATAATCACACTAACAAATCGAGTTTTTAACAAAGATTTTGCATCGATTCAATTGCTTGTCAAGCACAAACGTCAGCTCGATGAAAGTTCAAACAAGCTCGATGTATTCGACCTGATTCGATTCGTTGACGTTACTAACTTGAATTATACATATAAATTTATAGAGATGATTGAAATAATAGAATAAGGTGGACCAATTGAAAACAAGTCAACCAAAATATAAATAAATAAATAAGCAAATAAATAAATAAAAGCAATTAAAAGAGTCGTGTATCCGTTTCTAATTGGAAGTCAAGTTTGACCAAACAAACCAACCATCCCAAGTATTAGGAATTTTCCACAAAACAAAAAGTACTATTTCCAATTTAATTAATTTAATAGAAAATAAACTTCAATTTATATTCTTGAAGAAAATATATGTATACATCAATTTTATATATGTATACATCAATTTTCCGACCACCTCCCATTTTGCCTCGTACCTCTTCTTCTTCTTTACATTCTTGAAGAAAATTAAACTTCAATTTTTTTTTCGCCTTTTTTTTTGGATCAAGAATAATGGGTTTTTCTTATGATCATAACCCATCGCGGCGATCTTTGATGCCGACTTTCCTTTACGGTACTTCAAAAATGGTGAATATGGAGCCGAACACGACGAGGGTGGCGGCCGTCAATAATCCATCAGGGTCGCCGCCGTCGCCGTCCACGGCTGCTGGGATCAAGCGGAATTTCTTGATTCCGGCGCCGAAAGAGGGTGGAATAGAGATGTACTCGCTGGCGTTCTACGCGACATGCACCGCCGGAGGAATACTGAGTTGTGGGCCCACTCACACCGCCGTGACCCCACTTGATGTTCTCAAGTGCAACATGCAGGTTTAAATTGTACCTCAAATCTTTTTTTTTTTCTTTCATTTGATTCATGCTCTTATTTGAACTTTCTAAGCTACTTTTGAGTCATCATCATGAATTTATTAAGCTATTTCGGCAGTTGTCACTCCATTCATTTCAAAAACGAACGTCACGTTTTGAATTGGTGCGCATATATTAAAAAAACTAATAAATATACATGGATGTTAGAAAAAAATATAGAATGTGACTAAAATACCCTCTCCATAAATTTATTTTCCACTAAGTATCTCTTAATTAATTATATTCTAAGGACAAAATTGAGAAAATGATAATTAATGCACCATTGATATTTTAAAGTGACGATAATATGACACAAGAAAAGTTGTCACTTTAAATGACAAATAATTTGAAATATAGAGTATGTGTAATTACGAATTTGTTAACATGGAGTCATCGATATTTTAAAACAACAGTTCAAATTCAAATAATTCCGTTCAACATATATATAGGTCAAATTTATATTACTAAGATGGGAATATGATTTATGGGAGCATTCTTGCCTCAGGCTTATGTACTATGGTGGTGTTTGCAAAAACTTTTGAGAAGTACATCCTGAGATTTTTTTGGTTCAGAATCACTTTTGAAGTGTTAGCAAGGCCAATTTTTGCTTCTACATTGTTCAAATAAGGTGTTTTAAGCTAACATACGAAAACACCTCTAGAGCAACTTCTCTTAAAATAAGTTGCTAAAAGTTTACTTTTTTAGAAATAACACTTATTATTAACTTAACTGATCACAATCACTAATATAATGACTAATTTATGCTTTTTTTTAAACTTCTGCAAACACCACCTACGTATGTTATTGTAACTTCTAAGCACGTAGAATAAGCTATTTTGTTAAATCATTATAAATATGCGTCAACTGCAGCAAGTCGTGTATATATATATATATATATATATATATATATATATATATATATATATATATATATATAATTTCAAGGGATCAAATTGGATGAGTAAAATATATATTTTGTCGAATTTCATCAGTTAACACTTAATTAAGTTGCAAATACGTAGATTTTCAGTTCGAGTGTTGCTTTAATTAATGTAGATCGATCCTACAAAGTACAAGAGTGTGGGCTCCGGTTTCGGTACCCTGCTCAAAGAGCAAGGTGTCAAAGGTTTCTTCAAGGGGTGGGCCCCAACATTGGTCGGATACAGTGCCCAGGGAGCGTACAAATACGGACTATACGAGTATTTCAAGAAACACTACTCCGATATTGCGGGGCCCGAGTATGCGGCCAAATACAAGACGTTAATTTATCTAGCAGGATCCGCTTCGTCTGAGTTTGTTGCGGATATTGCACTCTGCCCTTTTGAGGCCGTAAAAGTTCGTGTCCAAACGCAACCTGGATTCGCTCGAGGCTTGTCCGACGGATTTCCTAAGTTGATCAAGGCTGAAGGGGTTTCAGGGTAATTAATTAATATTTTGCATGTTACTTGCTTGTTAATATATTTTTAGTTTATTGCATTCAGCATCCTTGTGTTTACTCTAATTATATTAAAAAAAAAAATCTCGTATATAGATATTTATTAGCAAAAACCCGCCTATGATGCAATTTTTTTTAAGCGAACTACCCTCGAAAACTCACTGTTTGGGAGGTCGCGTTCTAGAAAATGCACGATAGGGTGTTTTTATTTACTGGTGTTTATAACATGAGGCATTTCTTAGCAATTTGATATTGCATTAGGGAGGTAAATGCAATAAACTCAATGTGTGTGTGTGTTTGTGTGTGTGCGTGTGTGTGTGTTAAAAAATAAAAATACAGTTTCTGTACCTCAAGTTTGCACCGATTTCACATTTGGTCCCTTATGTTTCAAAAATTCAACACTTTTAGTCATTTCCGTCAATTTTCCGTTAAAACTAACGGAATCAAGCGTGTTCCATGACTGCTTTAATTACTAACGGTAAATTGACGGGAAAGACCAAAAGTTATAAATTATTGGAACATGAGGGACCAAATGTGAAATCGATACAAAATTCAGGGATGAAAACTATAATTTCCCCATATATATATGGTTTTATTAAACTTGTTGGAATTTCTTTAGAGACTTTGATTGAAAGATGTTATTAACAAATGGATTGGTTTTTGCAGGCTTTACAAAGGGATAGTTCCACTTTGGGGACGGCAAATTCCGTGTAAGTCCGACTGAATTTATGGACGAAAATCGGAACGGGATTTTTCGTTACGCAAGTTTACCGCTGCGGAACATATTTTTTGCTTCATTACCAATTTTTGAAATCTCTATACATTGGTTTGTTTACAGATACAATGATGAAGTTTGCGACGTTCGAGAATATCGTCGAAGGCATATACAAGTACGCAATCCCAACTCCGAAAGAGCAATGCAGCGTACCGTTACAGATCGGTGTTAGTTTCTCCGGTGGATACGTTGCCGGCATACTATGTGCCGTTATCTCGCACCCTGCCGATAACTTGGTCTCTTTCCTCAACAATGCAAAGGGAGCCACGCTTGGCGATGTGAGTGTCACGTTATAATTAGCCTCGATAATTCAATATTCGATTAATTAATTAGTTAATAACCCCTCGTTTTTAATCTTTATCTTAACTTATACTATAAAAATTACTACAAAATAATTTATAGAGGTTGAACTGAATATACTGACTTTCTTCAATCGTGTGTTAAAAGGCAGTGAACAAGCTAGGGTTATGGGGTTTGTGTACTCGGGGACTCCCTCTTCGAATCGTCATGGTCGGTACCCTTACGGGAGCACAATGGGGCATTTACGATTCATTCAAAGTTTTTTTCGGGCTGTAAGTCTTCCTTCTCGACACTAAAATTTTTTCTTGATCTTTTCGGTGTATTTTACAATCCATAGATAAATTCGAAAAAAAAAAAAAAAAACTCGATAAATTCATTTTTTTTGGCGGGCGAATTCGCATCTCTTTCGATCCGACAAACTTTATATAAATTATTTTTGTTCCGATTTTTGTAGGCCAACAACTGGTGGTGCTCCTGCAACAAAGTGAACAAAATAGAAGTTACATTAAAAACAGAAAGAGGTTTGTGCTATAGAATTATTCAAATGTGTTGGTAGTTTAATTTTGTTCTTCCCCCAGAATTTGGTTTTATTATTATTATTATTGAATTAGACATGTTATGGAGAAATTAGTTTTGTACAAGATTTTACTAAATTTTTTATTAACTAAATAAATAGTTAATCCGATTAATATAATAAAATACAAAATTAATCGAAATTATGTAACCAAACAAGCCTGTGAGTATTATTCTATTTGGGCTGATTACGAAATGTGAATGAGTTTGGTTTTAATCTTGGGCCTTTAATTTCAAACATGTCCGAAGATATTAGAATCATTTATTTTTGGGTAAATTACAACCACCCCCTTGAGGTATGGTCAATTTACGAAAAAACCCCTTTTGTTTGGATAATTACATCTACCCCTCAACTATGATTTTTTCTTACACCTCCACCCTTATGGTGTCAAATTCAAAATAATCATCTAAGTTTCATGGAATGTGCTATAGTTTGTACTCGTTTTTTTTGTAAAAATACAGTTTTGATGCACCACAATCTGATATATACAAGCCAAAAACACATATTATGATCATCTTGCTTCAAAATGTAGAGTTCACATGGGATAAAACGGGTACAAAAGTGATAATATTTCATATAATTAATCTCGAAGATTCCCCTAAAATTGAAACCGCAAAAGTGGACATGTAACATTATTTATTGTTGAGGGGTGGTTGTAATTACCCAAATAGGAGGAGGGGTTTTCGTAATTTGACCATACCTCAGGGGTGGTTGTAATTTACCATTTTTTTCCCCTTTAGAACTAGAATACATAAACTTATAATATACAGTTTTATTCATTATAAAATCTTGGGCAAATTACGGCCACCCCTGAGGTACGGCCAAATTAAGAAAAAAACATTTTGTTTGGGTAATTACAGCCACCCCCTTCTTTTAAATATTTTTACATAAAATTTATGTAATTCAGTTATTTACCGAAACAAATCGCATATTTAGTTCGGTAAACGGTATGAAATGTTGGCGTACCGAAATTTCGGTTCGGTTTTACCGAATTAACATTCCTAAATTTACCTCTGGAGGAGTCTTTTCGTAAGATAATACATAGTTGAGGGGGTGGCTGTAATTACTCAAACAGGAAGGGGGTTTTCGTAATTTGACCATAACTCATGGGGTGGCCGTAATTTGCCCTAAAATCTTAGTGATATCATGAATTTTTTTCTTCTTCCAATCTTCGTGAAATTATTAAGATGGGTGGATATCCAGTAATCCTTTTTATTCCAAATTTTGAATTTCTGGATTTTCAATTGTGTCCAAATATTATTTAGATCGCAATTGAATCTAATATGAGATTTCAATTTTAGATTCAATTTAATTTTCAAGAATCATTCCAAAAATTTCAATTTACTCCATTCGACTGTCATCTCTAATTGTATAAACTAATCACGATTCACGTGTTATAAAAGAAAAAAAAAACAAAAAAACATAGATTTGTACGACAAGGAGTATCTTTGAAGCATTGAAAATAATTATTGTGGTGGAATATATTGTCCTTGTTAATAATCCATTGCCCTAAATCGTACAAACTGTGGTCCTTAATGATTCACTGAATTAGAATAGAAGGAAACAAAGAAGAAAATAAGAGACATCTTAATAGCACACACACAAACACAAACACAAACACAAACACAAACACGTGTTTGTGTGTGTGTAAAACTCAATGAGAGGTAGGGGTGAGCAAGTCAGATTCATTAACTCGTTGAACTCGTTAAACTCGAGAAAAATCTTTCCACTGAAACCGTACGAATAGATCTAGCAATAGGATCTAGTAATGAAATGGAGAAAATCCGCAAATATGTTCATTTTTTCTAAAACCTCGTGAAGCCCATCCCTCCTCGCCATACAAAACGAGGTCGTTTGGTTTTATATTATGTAGTATAATAAATTAATAATATATAATACATAATAAAATATCTCTTGTATGTGAAAACTTTATATCTATAACAACGACGTTGTCTCGTTTCGTCTCTAGTTTTATCTATTTAGTTTTTATTCTTGTCCTACACTTTTTGAATTTAGCTACCATTTTTAATGGATTTATGGTTAAAACTTGTATTAATTTTGATTTACACTTGACATTTATAATTAATATTATTCACATTGATTTTAATTTAAGATTTTGTGCTCTTCATTTTAATTTCCAAATAGTTTCGTGTAAACCTTATAAATCATTAAAAATATATATATAAATGTTTTAAATAATATCGGGTTTTGACCCGTGTAGGTTGGGTCCCACTACGAACTCGTGATGGACCTGCCTATATTGAACTCGTTGAAAACCCACAAATTTGATTTCTTAAAACCAAAAACTATAATTCAACAAGACGAAGATGAGTTATGTCATAACTTGCGGATTTACGACCCGCGGACACCCATAGAAACAGAGGAATGTATACATGGTGTTTTGTGTGTAAACCTCGTGGCTGAAATTGTTTGGGTCCCTGAATTATTTCAGATTTATGATTATATTATGCTATGAAATAAATTAATTACGATGGCCCAAAATCTTAATTTTGTAAATAATAAATAAGAAAAATATTATAATGACCAACTTCATGAAAAACAAGATAAAGGGGCCCCTACCCCCTTTTTTTAAAAAGAAAATGGTACCTCAAAGCCACATTAAAGTTTAAAACAGGACTTGTGCATAATATTATGATGAGTTTAGATTCATTGAATTAATTATCATGCACGCAATTTTCATTACAAATATGTGTTTACACATCATTTGGACAAATTATTGTAATTTATTAGCACAAATTTGTCTTTCCGCTGTCAAACAGAAACCCCATTGATAAGGATATATTAAAATTGAACTTAAAGTTATTTTCAAGCTTATATTAACACTATTTTAATAAAAAATAATAAATTTTTTTTTTTTCATTGAACTGAATGCATATATATAAATTCAATTTGAGTCTGATTTATACTCGAGCCCAAATTATATATGAATAGAGTTCGAGTATACAATTCGAAAACATAAAAACTAAACAAAATATCAAAATTCAAAAATCCAGTTCTAATCTTTTCACTATTTCCGGAAATATTTATATTAAAATATAAATCAAAATCTCTTTATTTTCTCGATATACATTTTCAAGAACCTTTTAGATATGATTTTGACTTCTACGATATAAATCGTCTCTTATTAAAGCACAAACAAATATTATTTTTATTTTTAAATTCTTCTCCAAAACATCTTTCCTATCAAAAAAAAAAAAAAATGGAACACAAGCCCAAAAGCTTATAAAACATAGCCATAGCACACAACTACGACTCAAACAAAAATCATACAGTGATTAAATTGTTTAACTACTAGGGGAGTAAACGAGTCGAATAACTAAGAATGAGCTCGGGTCGATTCGTCAAAAAACTTGTACTCATAAAATTCGGGGTAAATTACAATCACCCCCCTTGAGGTATGGTTAAATTATAAAAAACTCCTCTTATTTGGATAATTACAACCACCCCTCAACTATAAATCTTTTTTACACGTTCACCCATACGGTTTCAAATTTCGTGGAATTTTCGAGGTTATATGGATTATTATCACTTTTGTTTTTAAGCTTGTATATATCAGATTGTGGTGTATCAGAAACTGTATTTTTACATAAAACGAGTACAAACTAGAGCACATTTCACGAAATCTAGATAATTATGTTGAATTTGACACCAAAAGAGTGGAGGTGTAAGAAAAAATCATAGTTGAGGGGGTGGTTGTAATTATCCAAACAAGAGGGGGGTTTTTTCGTAAATTGACTATACCTCAAGGGTGATTGTAATTTACCCTAAAATTCGAGTTCGGATTCGAGCTTTTATCGTGCAGGCTCAGCTATGTTATACTCTTAGGTGGTGTTTGCAAATGATTATTTAAAAGTAGAAGTTAGTGATTGTGATTTAAGTTAGTTTTAAGTGCTTATTTCTAAAAGTTGAGGGTGTTTGCAAATATTTCGGAAAATGAACTAAAATTGAAAAAGCAGGCTAAGGGGTGCTTTTAAAAAAATAGCTTAAAGCAGATTATTTTAAGAGAAGCAAAAGCAAAAGTTGATTTTGCAAACACCTAAAAACAAATTATGAGCAAAAAAAACCGCATAATCACTTTCTCCTTCTTGCTTATATAAAGCCAAACACACCCCCAATTAATTCTCAAGAATCTCTCTTCCATCATATTAATTTCTTCAACCCAATTTTTCTTTAATTATACCAAATTCCAATTGCATCATCAAGAAAAAAATAGAAAAAAAAAATGGCAGCCTTTTCATCATCAACATCTTCATCACCAATTTTCCTGCCAAATAATCCCACCATTATGAATAATAATATGTTTGCCCTTTTGGATTATATTCAACCAAACAATGCCTTATCATCATTTGGTAATAACAACAACAATAATAATAATAATAATAATAACAACAACCAGGCTTCTTCTCTGGTAACAGATTATTATTACAACAAACACACTCCAAATCCAATCCCCATGAACAAGAACAGGAAATCATCACCCAAACAGACCTCTTCTCCAAATTCTGCTCACTCCAAGGTTCCCTTTTTTTTTTTCTCTTTTTATTATTTATTTATTATTATTATTATTACTACTGAATATTTCAAGATTTTAATTTAATTATTTTACTTGATATATGTAATGAGAAGAAGCAAAAGAAAAAGAGAGAAAATAATGGTGAAGAAAAAAAGAAAAAAAATCAAGAAGAAGAAGAAAAGAAAGGATATATTCATGTGAGGGCTAGGAGGGGCCAAGCCACTGATAGACACAGCCTTGCTGAGAGGGTATTTTTATTTTTATTTATATACACTAATTAATTATTACTTAATTATTAATATATTTATATATTAATGATTAATTAACTAATTTTAATGATGTTTTTACTAACAAACATAACATGGTTTCAGGTGAGGAGGGAGAGAATAAGTGAGAGAATGAAGCTACTCCAATCCCTTGTCCCTGCTTGTCACAAGGTCAATTTCTAATTTCTAATTTTTTTTTTTTTTTTCTTTGAAACAATATTTTATTTATTTATTTAATTTTCTGACATATATATTTATATATTTCATGTGGTTTTAATTTAATAAACAGGTAACAGGAAAGGCCCTCATGTTGGATGAAATAATTCACTATGTCCAATCACTCCAAAATCAAGTTGAGGTGATTATATTTTATTATAATAATTCTCTTAATTATTATTTTTATTTTTTATTTCATTTATTTTTTAATTATTTTTTGCAGTTTCTTTCAATGAAGCTTGCATCTGTTAATCCTCTATTCTATGACTTTGGGATGGACTTGGAATCTTCATTCATGGTTGGGCATATTCAACAGGTGCATTATTTTTTCACTTAATTCCAATATTCAAATATTATTTTCTTTTTATTTAATTTATATCAAGATCTATATTCCAACTTCGAATTAGACGACATTAAAATAGAAAAATCTAAAATTTAAATATTTTATAATTTAATTTGGGTGTTAATTAATTAATTGCATGCAGAATTTAACACCATTGCCAAGCATGAAAGAATGCATCATGGATAATTCTGTTAATTCTCTTCTGTTACAACAACCCCAAATTAATCCACTAAATAATGCTGTTCCCCAGGTAATTAGTACGTAATTATTTTATTTTTTCCAAATTTTAAATATATAATAAATATTATAAAATAATTACTATATATTTAATATTTTCAGGGGCATAGACAGGTCTTGTGGGAAGAGGAAGACCAAAGACAAAGAATTATTAATCAGACAGAAAACTTCAACACCTTTTATTCATTACATTAATTAATTAAGGGTAAAATTCATTTTGCACCCCTATACTATGATAAATATATCGTTTACCCCCCTGAAGTATTGAAAACATCAAATACCCCCTGCCGTTAGTTTTTTTCTTCTAATTTCGTTAGTCAAACCCTTAGACCGACTATTGCAAAGAAATGTTGGTTTTTTTTATTAACCAACTTAACTATTGGATACATCTTCCATGCATTTTGGAACTAAACCGCAATTCGTCTTTGATAAACTGTCCAAATGTATCT